GTATCTAACCCATTACAGATTTATTAGAATTATTTGAATTTAATTTTAGAAAAAGTTTAACTAAGGGAATTCTAACCTGTTCAAAACATCCTAGCTCTATTTGGAAAAGTAATTTCCCATTAAACCTGATGGCTGTTTGAACCCCAGTATCATAAACAGTTGCAATTAAGCTTTTCTGATAACTGGCTTTTGCATTAATGTTGGTCACTTGTGGTTTCTGGTTTTAATCAATCCCATGAATAGGGTTTTGACATAGTTATTTCAGGCTGTTAAAACTGAAGTAACTCAGTCAAGGAAAGTCTTCTGTTCTTTATATGTATTTCTGGGTTCTTTTCTGAACTTCTAGATTAGTTGTTGGTGTGCTCTTTAAGGCTGTTCACCCCTTGTGTGTGACAAGATTTTTCTGACCTTTTTGTGAATATATGTGAATATATGTGAATAAAAAAAAAAAAAAAAAAAAACTAAGAAAGAGCTTTGAAGACTTTTCCATACCTTAACCTGAGAGGGGTCTTGCTGCAGACTTGCACTGTCAGGATCCAGAGCTGCACTGTCAGTATTCTGGCTGCAGAGCTGCCCTTAGAGGTTTCTGGGCTGTTTGAAAGGGAAGTGTATTCAAAGACTTTCAAAGTAAAAGCGAAGTTGGTTCAAAGCCTTTCTAAAGTAAAAGCTAGCGTGGATAAACTCCCCATGAAGCTTGCTTTCTTTCACAATTGGATTAATAGATATGTGCTACATAGAAATAAGTCTCTGTATTTGGATCCTGCTCCTATGCTCAGTTTAACACTATCATAAACTCTAAACTAGCAGCAAACATGTGCTATTCCCAAAGGCCTCGAATACAGCTTCTGGAATAAACTTACGGCCCTGACAGTGCAGGAGACCCCATTTTGCAGGTCTGCAATGAGGGGCCCTGACAGTGCAGGTTTTTTAGCCAGACTCTCTTGCTTTACCTTGACTATCCATTCCATAAACAATTTTTAAAGATTGTTCTTTATGTGTTGCTTCATTATTATTATTTTTTTGTCTACTTCAAAGTGTCATACAAGTTCTACCGTACTTATGCAATTTCCTGATTCTGCAGGTCAGGTGGTGATATGTTTAATTTCTGATAATTCATGACTGTATTTATATACACTTCTCTATTCAAGCAAGTACTGGACCTTAAATCACAGAATCACAGAATTGTAGGTTAAGATTAAGTGAAAAGTTTGTTCACTTTGGATTTTTTTTTTCTTTATAGATTGGGTGGAGGGGATCAAACTGTCGGACCTCCATTGTGGATGGGTGCCCAAGTCCCACTTGAAAGTGATAAGCAATGACAAAGTGAAGAAGCGCAACCTGTCAGATGCTCTCACACTGACAAAGGCTACAGCTGCTGTCTGAGTGTTATGATCAGAGAGGCAGTGAACTTGGTGATGTCCTTAAAATACATTTTTCAGCTATGGTGCATCTTACTACTGAAAACGGACAATACATATTCAGCACAATGCATTGGCTGAAAAAGTTAAAATAGTTAATCAAAGTGCAGAATTAGACTTAGCTTGTTTCACTATGTGGAATAATGATAATAAAAGCAGGCCTGATAGCAATTCCTGGTTTATACACACAATTACTTTACTATAAACTGCTATGCAAAGTGCCCAGCTGGCATTGAGGTTTCCAGTGCACACAGATATCATGTTTTAATATTGTTCTTTTCCATAAGAATTATTTTGGTATTGTGTATAATGACCCAAAGAATAAAATAGTGTTTATTTCTTTTGTTTTCCATGTATGCATGAGAGCTGACAGGTCTGCATTTCTAATAACAAACTATGTACAGAGCTTGAACAAAACATTACAATAAATTCAGGAAATAAAGAAACATTTGATCCCTAAAAAATGCATTGATTTTGATCTTTATGTCTTGTTTGTTTTAAACTGAAATGGACAATAAGAAGCTCCATAAAGGTTTGAAAAAACAATCAACTGGACTTGGTTTCCAAGGTTTGAAGACGTTTCGCTTCCCCTCCGGGAAGGTTTATCAATTCAAATGTCTGGATCCTCAGTGAGTTTGAGGCTTTATATAGACAAGGTCTTGTATTGCTTGGAAACATGCAAATGAAAACCGACTAGCGGATCGTTTAGTACCATTGATACCCTGTAATATCTAAAAGCTGTCTATGATTCTGAAAGGTTGGTCATTAAAGGGGGGATTGTCGTTAAAGGGGGGATTGTCTCCTGTAATACCTGAAATCTGTCTATGATTGTGATGGGTCGTTCGTTAAAGGAGGGATTGTTCACCTGGCTGAAGAGAGAAGGTTCCTTGTTCCTCTGTGATGGGGTGGGGGCTGTGGTGATACCTGGAAGGAATCATCTCTATAACTGAATTTTAAGTTTTTGGAAGCTGGAATCTGAGTCCACCACCTCTGTTTAAGGTTGTTTTTTCTCTCTTGACATAGATGGGTTCCTTCACGTCCCTGTCAAACCACATATTTTCTTTATCCACAATAAGAAGCATATGTTCCCTGTTGTGCTTATTATTTAATGATATACAGATGTATTTTCAAAACAACTGAAATCAACTGAAAGGTTTTCTTTTTAATTTCTAAAAAAGGAGACCTGAAAGATAAAGCTTGTATTTATATTAAGTGCTTTAAGGTTAACTTCTCTTTGAGCCACATCCTGTATTGAGGGCTGCAAGTATTGAAGGTTTAGCATCACTAGCTGTGTATGTGTATTGAAAATGCCCGTTCTTTTTTTCAACTATTAAAGAAACAGGTGAATGGTATCCAAACAGATATTGTATTTTTTACCTCAGATTATATATCCTTTTTAAACTATATTGGTAAAAATATTTGGTTACAAATAACCAAAATAAATGTGGATGTTTAAATTAATTGCATGCCCATATCTGTATAAAAGCTTTGTGTGAAAAAAACCTAACTGACCTGCATATAGTCCTGACCTCAACCTTATAGAAAACCTTTGTGATGAACATGAACAGAGGGTGAAATCCGGATTTTCTCATCTAACTACAAACCCATAACCTTGTGGAAGAGGTCTACAGAAAATAAAGCTGCATTTGCTGGGATTTAGGAACATAAGAAACAATAATATCTCCGATATAAGATGGAGCTTGGCCAATTAAGGCTTTATATGTCAGAAGGAGGATTTTAAATTCCATTCTGGATTTAACAGGAAGCCAAAGAAGAGAAGCTAGGATAGGAGAGATATGATCTCTGTTTAATTTTCATCATAACTGTGGCTGCAGCATTTTGGATCAGCAGAAGGCTTTTAACTACAGTTTGTGGACTTCCTAATAGTAAAGAATTACAAGTAGCCATGAAGTAACAAATGCATGGACTAGTTTCTCAGCATCACCCCTGGACAGGATATTTCTAATTTTTGCAATATTGTGCAGATGAAAGAAGAACATTCTAGAAACCTCTTTGATATGGGATTTAAATGACAGGTCCTGACCACTTTATTGTCTGAAATCAGTTTAATCCCATCCACATGAAGTGACTGGCTATCAGCTTCTTTTTTAAAGACTCTGTTCCAAAAGACTATAACTTATGTTTTGTTTGCATTCAGGAGCAGAAAATTAAGAGTCCTCCAGGTTTTTATCTCTTCAAGACATGCCTGTAATCTATGTAATGGGTTAGCTTTGTCTGGATTTATAGACAGATATAAAGCTGAGTATCATCAGCATAACAGTGGAAATTAATCCCATGCTGTCTAATAACTCAACCGATTGGGAGCATATATATATAGTAAAGAGAATTGGTCCCAGCACTGACCCCTGTGGTACTCCACAGGTAACCCTGGAGCATGGGGAAGATTTCTCATTAACGTGAACAAACTGAAATAGATCAGATGGATAAGATTTTAACCAGTTCCTTTAATTCCTACAAAATATATATATAAAGTCTTTCTAAAAGAATATTATGATCAACTGTATCAAATGCAGCGCTGAGACCTAACAGGACAATTAGAGATACAAGTCCATTATCTGAGGCCATGACCTTTTTTCTTCTTTCCAAAATTCAATGGATGGTAGATTTGTAGATTTGATGACTTCTTTACAGCTCATTTAGAGTTATTCTGTGCCTGTTTGTTTGTTTTTTTATTTATAAATCTTCTTCTTTTCTAAACTTTCAGTTTAATGATTGGATGGCCATTACTTGTATAGAGGTTTAAATCTTACTGTGTCGTTTTAAAGCCTGTACTTGCTTCAAACATTTATACTTTATATTCTATCTGCTGTTTATTCTTTGTCTTAATGGTGTTTATTAATATCTGCAATAAATTCAAAGGCCTTCAAAGAATATTTGTAAGAATAAAGGGATTATATCACACACAGGTGGGATTTATTAGCAATAAGGACACCTATAAAAAAACAGTAGTGTTTTATATTGGGCTGTCAGACAATATTGGTTTTTGTTGCACTTCATGTATTGTTTTCCTTTAACGTCGCATTTTCCTAATAAAACCCAAACACAATGTATGTAGGGTATCCAGACATTTGAATTGAGAAAGCTTCCTGAAGAGGTGGCGAAACGTCTTCAAATCTTGGAAACCAAGTCCAGTGGATATTTTTTGAATTTTTACGGAATGACTATGACCTGGATGACTGAGAATCTTCATCAGCATAGGGTAGAAAACGTGCAAAACAGCCGTATTTACATTCAACTTTGACAGGGTGTTGTCTGTAGGGCCTGTGTGTTCAGAACAAACTGTAAACAGCTCATTTAATAAAAAAAAAGGAGACAAATGTACACGCCACGCACATAGCTCGCTTAATAGACGGCAGTGAATTTACTTGGATCCGCTACTGGTCCTCCTTCCTGCCAATTAAGGAAAACAGGCCGTAGCTGCAAGAAACAAGCGGACCTGTTTAACCAATCAATGCACAGGATTCCACACACATCTTTACTCTAACAGGACATTTTGCTGTCAATCATTTACCCCTTCTGTGATTGGCTGTTTTTATCCCAAGGGGCGGGCATTGATATGTTGTTTTTGTTCTGCCGAGAAGAGCAGTCGACATCTTTGAAGAAAGGTTTTGGGTATCATGTTGTGACATTTTGGTGGCTTATAAAGTCATTGCCGCTGCGTTGAGCGACTTCACAACAGAAAGGAACTCCAAAGTTTATTTGAATTTTTAGTTATTCTTCTTTTTTGCTGTTGTTTTGCTCTTAAAGGTACGTGAGCTGTATTTTTTGTGAATAATCTTCGGTCGTAGCTGCTAGCTAGCACCACGAACTTAAACATTTGCAACCTTCAACGAGAATCTGTCTATCAGATCAACCTGAAACTGGTTTGTGAGGATAAATGCATATAAGTTCATATTTAACAGGGAATTTGTAGGTAGGTCAACCTCAGGAAAAGAGCAAGCTATCTGATTTCATTGTTGTTGTTAGGAGTGACGTGGCGTCAGTGTACGATCATCTCCGGGAAACTAAAATCTAGCTTCCTCCTCCCCACAACAGCCTGTGCCCCAGTTTTAAGGAGCCACTTTGACCCTTATGAGCTGGATGGGAAATGCACGCGTTTAGATCTGCTGGGGTTATTTCATTTGTTATGTTTTGGGCGGAGGGTCACTTCGGCCTTTTCCTCCTACCACCTTCCCTTCCTGCTTTAAATGTGGATTTTTAGCTTAGGTTTAGGCTAATCCGTTTCGTACCCACGTATGGAGTGTTGGTCATTTCGCACCTTAATGGCAATGGTTAAATTTGTCCCAGAGGGACGTTTCGAGCTTTATCTGACAACCGATTATTTGAATTAACTTTATATTTCAGTCAAATTTTGATAGTAGAAAATATTATGCAACTACAGTAAATTATATCTACAACCAGCAAGCTGATGGGTTTTTGGTTTATTATTAGTAATAATAATAATTGAACTATTGTTCTCACATTGGAGAAATTTACCCCTGCATCTAACTCATCATCTCTGACAGCAGTGGGCTGCCATCGTGGGCCGCCTGGGGAGCAGTGTGGGGTTAAGGGTCTTGCTCAGGGACCCAGAGTGGCAGTCTGTGGGAAAGGGGCTCAAACTCAGGACCTCAGGATTCCAAGCTCTAAGCCCTAACCACTTGGCCACCACACCCCCACAGTATTCATAATCATTTGTATTTAATAAAAAGTTCAAGATCATTTTTTGTGGTATGTCTTCAGCTTATTATAATTTTATAAGTGAAATATCCCAGGCTTGCAGCTATAAGACAACATTTATACACAAGAAAAAGGATTTGAATGGTCTTTATTTACCACAGCATATATCAGTTTAGCTTTGTTGTTTACTCAAGCATTTGATATACATGTTAATTAAAATTAAATTGTTTTACATCAAGCTTAATTTAATTGTACAATATGGTACTACATACTTTGTGTGAAATTGTTAAGTCACCTATTTGGCTTCTGATATTTGTTTGGGGCCATTGGTTTAAAGATTCTAACATGTCAAGATGTGAGACATGCTGGAAGATATCAATGGAAATCATATAATTGCTTCTTTTATATAAATCTAAGTACATAATAGTCCCTTGTGTTAAAGAGTCTCACACAGCAGATGACACATTTTGCAGTCCGACCTTTTCTGATGAAAAAATGTTTTTTATTTATTTTTTTACGAACAGTTTGGGGTATATATTTTTAAAATAAAGGATAGCCCCGCTATTTTTTTTTTTTTTTTTTTTTAACCAGCAGGTTAAATCCATGACTATATAAGATGCATAGCTTAGCAAAAAAGATAAATAAATCCTTGTTTGACAATTTGTCATAACTTAAATATTTGCTTAAAGAAACTTACTGTACTGCTGTATACACTGAAACAGGTGTTACAGAACAAGTTAATTGTTTTTTTTTTTTGTGCTGATTCTTAGTTATTGCTTTAGCTTTGCTTTAATTTAGACAAAATTTGGTACCAATCAACCTTAAAAAGTATCAAGTTAATGTACTGCAATCATGAAAATACAATGTTGATTTTTTTAATAGGGTGTGATCTTTTTGAATGCATATCTCAGATGAGAGTAAACTTAATGTGACTCTAATATGGAAATGAAGAGTCGTATAATTTATGCAGATCCCCACCCACAAAGCACGTTTTGTTATTAGAAGTGACCTGTGTAAATACAAAATATTAGCCATAGACCAATACTAATCCAATTGTTATGCATTTGATGGAAGTTTAGTTATGAATTTAATAAAAGTAATATCACATTACAGTTCAGCTGTCATTACAACATGACTATCCTATGTTGTTATTTCTATAGTATTGCATTGTAAATAACCTCTTCATAGAGTGTTATTAAAATAGTCCCATCTTCTCTAACAATAACTTTCTCTTCTGCCTGACATCATTCACAAACAGAGTACCCTGGTTGGGGTCAGGCAGAGCTCTTCCTCTCTTGTCTGATTTGTAAATAAAGCCATCGTTGTGGACTACATGTGTGGCTGTCCTGTGTTTCAGATGGGCAGTCAGTATCAGCGCTCTGTCCCACTGGAGGTGAGGAGAGCGGAGGGAGAAAGAGTTCGGGCCAAGCATCCTGACAAGATACCGGTAAATAAAACTAGAGCTTTTTTCTTTTTTTAAAATCGCCTTTGGATGTGATAGACGATGTCAATTTAAAAATGGGATTTTCATAATCTTTGAAGTAAAGAATGTAAATCTACTTGTTTATTTAATTTAAACCATAAATTTTCAGATCATTGTGGAGAGGGCCTCGAGGTCACGCGCTCCGGAGCTCGACAAGAAGAAGTACCTCGTACCCTCAGATTTAACAGGTGATAGCAGCACAGACAACACAAACTACAAGTGTTTGAATGCAAGAGCAATGTCTTCCTTTATTTTCACTTCCTCCCAGTCAAATGCAAAAAATATTTATGACCTTCGCTGACTGTCTTACTGATTGTTTCCTTCTGCTTTTCTTTCTTTCTTTTTTAGTGGGCCAGTTGTGCTTTCTGATTCGTCAGCGTATGTCTTTGAGACCAGAGGAGGCGCTCTTCTTCTTCGTTAACAACTCTCTCCCTCCATCCAGCTGTCCTCTCTCAACTGTATACGAGGTAACTCAAACCAAATCGAGGTTTTATTCCCATTATCTTCCTTTTAATGCACTCAAAGTTATTTCTGATTCTGCTTTTGTAAAAACTTAACCAGGGCTCACAGTTGTCCAGTTTGTAAGCTAATACTGATCCATTCTGTGCTTGTTTTGCAGGAGCACCATGAAGAGGACCTTTTTCTCTACATGACTTACAGCAATGAGAGCGTGTATGGTGCTTAAAGCAAAACAAAAGACTGAAAAAGAACCCAGAGGGAGAATGAGAGTAGATGAACTGAGACTGGAACGAAGATTTGACAAATATTTGAGACCTGCGCCACTTCTGAATAGTAGCTTTGACAAGTATTTGCAGTTTAAGTTGGAAGAAGGACTTTTTAAAGGGTAAAAAATGGGTCTCAAGTTCTATTTTTTTTTTTTGGCAGTATTTCAAGCTGAGCTTAATGCATTTATCAGCACTTCAAAGTTAATGCGGATTTCTTTCACAATGGGATGGGTTTTAAAATAAAAAGAAAACATGAAAAGAGTTATCAAAACTATGGAGAGAAAGCTCTCATTTTCTTTCTAAGACATCTGTATTTAATGCAAATAGTATTGTTTTTTTTGTAAATATCACAATTTTCTTTGCGTAAAATAAAGAAAACAAAAAAATTCTAATCAGTTTCTGTCTGTTTCAATCGTGCTTCAGTGCATGGTAAACACATTCCATTTGAACTTTCAGTGTCATGTTGCAATAACTCATTTCTCAGAACTAGTATACAATTGTGCATAAGGAAATAAATACATTTTTAGATTAGTTTATACATATTCAAAAGTGGCCTGCATTTTTTTTTCTTAAAGAACATCGACATTACCTTTGAGGAACATAATTTAGTGCAAGTAGAACAACAGGAATCTACAAATCAATATCAAATATTTAGCGATTCTTCACAAAATATTTCAGACTCATTCATTTTGCATGAAGAGAATCATTGAACCTTAAGTTCTCACCAAAAATGAATAGTTAGATGGCCATTAGATTACCAGACTTTGGCCAATTCTAACACATTCTAGTTGGCTGGCTGCTCAGTTCAGTAAACCTCAGTTCCAATACAAAGTTGTTTTGAGCTTCCTGAACAGCTTTTCCTCAAGGATATTCTTATGTATTTATTTTTCCTCATTCAGCTTCCTATCCCACTAACCATTAACAGCTTGTTCCATATTTGCAGTCAAAAACAACCCCCACAGCCTGATGCAGACACCACAATACATCACAGTACGCAAAGGGTTTTCAAGGTTACCTGCAGTTTTTTCTATGCAGTGTTTTGCAAGTATTAAACCAAAATTTTTTTTTTTTTCCACCAATGAAAATTTTACATTTTGTTATCAGAAAAAGAAATATGATGAATTGAAATGAATTTTTTTTTTGTGGGGGGCTAAGGAATTAATAAAAGCATATGAATGTAATTTTTCTCATCTGAAAAGAAAATCCAGCACATCATCACACATTTTAATTGAAGCCTACAAGTGAAGCACAGTCATGCCTTTGGTCTAGGGGAAGGGCTGAATAAAGCAAAAAGAAACTCTTTCTAAGGGGAAGTGGCGTCTTCATACAACTTAGTCACACTGGACATAAGGAACTATTTTTCTTTCACTATATCAGATCTTGATATCAAGTTATTTGCAACATGGTGTCATCTGCATTTGTGTCAGCACCCTGAAAAAGTTACATAACCTTCATTGTTAGCTGACCATTGACCTTCTGAGTAAATCGAAAGTTAGGGAATTAGTAGAGAGGCTGTCATGGAGATGCAAGAGATCCCGACGGAGAGCCCAAGAGTCCATGCAGAGGATGGAGCAGGTGAGCCGATGCTGGAGGTGATAACTAAAGGTGAGCAAGGTTTCTAGTTATTAATCGGGACATTGTTCAGGTGTTGAAATGAATGGTGTGGTGAACATTTGGAAGTAAGCTCCAGATGTGTCTGTATTTTTGTCTTTAGAGGAAGCAGAACCAGACCATTACGAACAACTGAAATGTCCAACTGAAGATGTTTACGTAAAAGCGTCTGATATTCATCCTATAGTCAAATCAAAAGAAGGTATGTCTGTATTTAGTGATTTAATTTGATTGCACAGTTAAAAACTAAATAGAAGAAATGAGCTTATGTTATAAAAAGAATTGTCTAGTTGTCCCTTAACCGACAACACACCTAACACGTGTAAACAGTCTGGATGCCTCTCAGGGATATATCAAAAATTATTTATGTAAAATTGGAACTAAGAAAGCAACTTAAAAAAACAAAAACATTTAATAAAGTTAAGCCTAGGACAGTATTACTGTTTGGTGACATTAGTTCATTTGAGTTTTTTCATCTCAAAGTTCAGTTTTTTGCCAAACAAAACTATTTCAATAGATTTGTATCTTAGCATTAAAACAATCCTGATTCATTCTAAACAGTGAAAAACAAGCATTCACATAATTACACATTTATTATATTTTAATGCCTCATTTTAAACAAAGATTAAATTAACGCAGATCAGTTTTTTTTCCAGAATATTTGTTCTAATACCAATTTATAGTAATAGTGATGAATTGAAGTGTAAAATATTGCGGCAGTCTAAAAAGGAACTGCAGTTAACTTCAGTTAAAAAAAAAAGAAGAAGAGAGATAAAAAAAAAAAAAGAAAAACTGACAAAACTCCAGAAAGTTCTTATTTCACGGAATCAGACCTCTTTTTAATAATCCTTTAGCCCTGAAGATATATCTTCAAAAGTACAATTAAAAATACTAACAATTGTGCTAATTGAATAACATTGTGTAATGTTCAGAGCTAAAGATTTTCTAAGTATACATAAATATTAAAATTATTTTATACAATAACATTTTACAATTTGAAATTAATTTGTCAAAAGCTGAATCTGTTGTAAGATTTGATTAGTTTATTATTTATTTGTTTTGTTTTTTTCTTCTAGAAACCATGATTTATTTTTTTTTAGCTTGTAAAGTTAAATAGTAAGAACATATTGCTATGATTCAGGTAAAGTGATTTAATTTGTCTCTGAAACCAGAGTTTCTTCACTGTGTATTTAGGATCCTTGTCTTGTTAAAATCCCTTTAGCTACAGAGTAAGTCACTATCACCACATTGCAAAAAGAAACAAAAGCATTTCCACACCATGAGGTTTCTTTTTGTTTTGTTTTTTTCCAACAGTATCCTGTCTGGCAATGTGGCAATAAGAATAATTGTCTTGATGCCAAACAGATTTTACTTTCACAAGTGGAGCAGTAGGGCTATTGCCATAGTGTTCCCGCTTGTTTCATGCATATAAATAGCTTTATTATAATTATGCAGGGAGTTTTACAGATTATATGGACACTGCAATGTAAATAGAACAGAAGAGGAAAAACAGAAAAAAAGGAGAAAAGATGAAAGAAAGAGGAGATAGAAGGGAGATAATGATAAAACATTTTCAGTCTGCTTCATCAACTGCAACGAGATGTAAAAAGAACAGTACAACCAACAGACATGGTACCAGACATACAATAAAGTTACACCTTGAAACTATCACTGAAGTTTTATTATTTAATCTGACATGTACTCTGTGTTACCTGAAGATAAGACCATGATGATTCTACTTCCTTTCTTCATTTATTTGATACGTTTTCTGACTGGTGAAGTGTACTACTGTTTAGTATGAGATCCCCAGGCTGCCTTGTAGTTTCACTAAGTGCCTTGAACAGGGCCACAACATAGAGGAAACAGCTCCTACAGCCTCATAGTCAACGGGGGTTTTATAGTGAGCACAGGAACAGAAGGAAGCAGAGCTACAAAGCCCAGGCTGAAGATTGCAGGCTGACTCAGAATGGACTGATGTCAACTACAGCTATTCAGTAAAACATAAGGTACATGTTAACTCAGATTCGTTTTATCAGGGTCTTGATGAAGGACCTTTACCTGAGCTATAGTTTATGTAAAATAGCCTGGTTATTGTATAAATGGTAGTAATCCTACCTGTGAGCTTCTAGCTGTGGTTGCAAAATCTGGCCCTTCAGTTGCCCTGATAGCTAAGCATTATCTCAATAAAATGTCATACGGTTCACCATATCTTAATACTGCAGACAGTGCGGTTCTATATGTTAACTGAAAAAAGTGTTGCTCTAAAAAATGAAAAAGCATAGTAAGTTTGTTATATTAAAAGGGGAAGGTTATTCTCCGTCTCTTAGATCATTTCTGTGCCAATTCTGAACAAATACTACTGGGGTTGTTTTAAAGGGGAACTATTATTTAGAAATAACTTATGAAATTGCAATTTTTAACAAATTACGCAAAATTATACATTTTAATCAGAGTTACATTTGGCCTTTTTATCTATATGATTACTAATGACAGTATTATTAGAAAATTAAGACAAGAAAAAAGATAAGAGTCTGAAAAAACAAAGAAGAAAGTATAAAGCTCCATGACAAATTTTAAACACCACAATTTTTACATAGCCTTCTTTTTTTCGATTTGAAGTGCTTAACTGTAAGGAGCAAATGTAATTATAAAATAATGTTTGATTTATTTTGTGGGGCGATTAAAGTACAAACAGTTTCTTTATAAGCTGACTGAGGGGTTGGAAAGATGGAATGGAAACAGAAAGTATTATGTAAGAGGGAACCTATTTAGAGAATCATTTTGAATAACATTTTAATCTAAATCTAAAAAAAAAAAAACTTTAAAGCTTTTATTAAATGTAAGAATTGGTGGCCATGGAGCTTAAGCTGTTGAACTCTAGAAATTCTTGTCAATTTAAATAAAGTAATTAACATAGATGATTTAAGAAGCCCGCCATTTTGTCCCATGGCAAGAAAGTTTCTCGAAGTTAGAGAATACCTTTTAGAAGGTGGAATGGGCAGAAAATTATATATTTGTTTCAAAATAAAATCATTAAATGTGTCACTGCCACCATTATCTCCCATTTTTGAATTTCACATTTGATACAATGTTAGATGGTTAATGTTATTACTTTGGCTGCTCCAAACTCTGGAGTCACTTGTTTACAGAACATTTCTCCATGGCTACACGGTCCAGTGGATCCACACCGCAACATCCAACACTTTGCATTGCACTTTGACATTTAGCACATGGAACAGCTACTTGGCCATGGAAACACATCAGATAAAGCTTGCTATGCTCTGGTCTTGAGCTGTTTTCAAAGGTGCATGATATTTAGATATATATGAGTCTTGCAGCAAGCACACTGGTCTCTTTCAGCTATGCCTTTCAGCATCCATTGACCACGCTCTGTGATTTAACATGGCCGATCATTTCCTGACTCTATTAACAGCTGACTCTTTGTGGTATTGCAATAAAGTGGTGCTGGTGAGGAAATGACAGGACTGAACTTATCGCACAAGTGGTGTCCTATCGTGGTACCACAGTGGAATGCATGAAGCCCCTGTGGACAACCCAATTCACAACTCTTTGTAGAGGCTCTCTGGATGCCCACTTGTTGGATATTATAGACCTGTGGCCATGAAATTAGTTGAAACACTTTAATGCAATAGTTTAGAGCAGAGTTCTTCACAAACCCCTACAGGGTGAGGGCTCATGAAATTCTGGTGGGATAAATTGCTAATCGTGTTACGTCTACACATCTACACAGTTACTAAAAGTCTGCATTAAAGCCTAATGACTGCAGAGTTCTTCATGAATTATTTTGTTGTATATCTTATGGGTAAAAATTAGATTGAAAACCCTCTTTGCTGAACAGGTTAAATCTTTGCTTACAGAAACTCAGCCACCCTACTGTTATCAACACTCTTGTCAGCACCCCTTAAAACTGACTGTTTAAACACTCTGGCTCTTTTAAATTTATCTTTATGATTTTCAATTTGAGGGATGAACCAATGCCTTTTGGTATTGAATGCAATATGGAGCAGTTCATTGCGTTAAATAAAGCCTCTTGACCTAATCCCTTTCTTTGGTCTTACCCTGAGAAAAACCTTTGGAGTTATAGTGGAGGATGTTCTTTTTCCGGGTGGATCATCAAAATAAGTGGTCCTCCTAACTATCGATCATGATATGTTTATGTAAGCCCGTTCTACGTGCTCGTCCCCATTTTCACTTACCGGTGGTGAGTCTGACATAGTGGAAAAATTGCAAATCTTCAGTTGTAAAGTAAGCCTGTATGAGCAATGCAAACAGCAACCCTTAGAGCGTGCACGAGGATAAATGGGCTTGGCAATGCTCTCGCACCCATTTAATAGCCTTTCCCTCGTATGAGTGGGTACATGGTTGTGCATGTGCATTTTTGTGGAGAGGGCGGATCTTTTCAAAAATTCCCAAAGATCCTCCACTATACCTCTAACTTAACCATTACCAGGACATACTTAACCCTTACCTAAAACTAAATTCAATTCCTACCTTAGCCCTAAATCTAACCCCTGGCAAACTAGCTTGTGAGGACCAGAAACATTTCCTAACAAATGTCTTTTATCATAACTGGACCTCACTTTGCTGGTAGAGTAAGAACAATGGATCTCATTTAGATGGCCAAACCGGAAACACGGATACTCTCTCATTCGTAGAGGAGTACAGGGCATTCAAGGACAAGCTCTGTGCAGCCTGAATAATAGAGAGATTACTGGGGGTTGTCATGGTGTTAGGGTAGGAGGGAGGGCTCTTTAAACTGCACCAAAGGCTGGCTTGAGTCAGCAGAGCAAGAAGCAGGAGGAGAAAAGAGCAAACAAGCTGCCTGACTTACAGAAGCAAAGTATTCCCCATGTACATCAAATTTTGGCGCAGCTATTTTAAGGATGAAAAAGAGAAACCGGATGAAGGCTCACTATCGGTTGAGCTGGAGGGGGAAAAAGGTAGAGCAGGAGTCTTTTTTTTTTTTGGTCCTGATGGTGGTCTTTGTAGTGCTCACTGACATTTGGTTTTCCTCTCCAGGCAAACAGGCTGAGAGGAATGCAGGACTGTACCGTCTGCCGTGTTTAATCCTCTCAGTTGTCTGTCTCATTCTTCTCATACTGGTCTGCATACTTGGTGTGAAACGTGAGTACACGACACCATGTATCTGCAACAAACGCGCATCTGAATCCTTTTCTTCTAGATTTAAAGCAGATAATTTGAGTTTTACAGACAGTCAAAACCTTGCAGGGTTTGTGAAGCAACATTTCATTCCTTTGATCCAGCTTTTGGTGATAATAATAAATCCCCCATGCAGAATGTTGCAAGCTGCAGAGATGCAGCTTGAGGGCATTATTCTTGCTCTTACAAGCCTGCCCACTGTGCTCTGTTTTGTAGTCCAAAATACAACCACAGTCTGCCCAGGAAATGGCAGATCTGAAGACCAACAGTGTCCTGATCCAGCATGCAGCATTGAGGAATGCCAGGACCGCTACCAAAACATTCCGTTCAAGCGTAAGGAGGAATATTTTCTGCATTGTTTACTATTGTTTTGGAGAACGTTTTTTATGTTTCAAGATAATCTTTTCAATTAAAACCTTAAAACAATGCTTTTTTTTTTTAAGGCAAAGTAGTTAAGTTATTTGTAGCTGCGTAGGGGTCCATACCTGAATCACTTTTTAGTTCTTTATTTTTTGTCTATTTTTAATTTTTAACATTCAAAGCAGCCATTTAAGTTTTTGTTTTTCTTTTCACTTTTTCCTCCTGACCATGAAAGCAGAATGCCCCTGACAAAAAGGGTAAATGGGACAAGTGAAGGACACAGTCTCAAACCTTAAAAAAAAACATCTGAAATAGATAAACAATACAGTATCTAAAAATCCTTTTGAGCTGCTTCTACAACCACAATCACCATTCTGTACTTTTGCAGATAGCAATGCTATGGGAGCCTTTCTGTCATCCAACATTTAGTCATTTTGGGTAATTTTTGGACAAACTTTGACAGTTTATCACTTAACTTTTAATAATTCAATCCAGGTTTTTCAGATTTTTATCAACTGAGACTATGAACAAGCATACTATAATATGGTCAAATACACACTATACAGCGCCACAGGAGAACAACAAATATAATGAATTGGTAAAAGCAGCTCTTCCTATGCTGAAGTTCTTCAAAGGTTCTATAAGATCTTGAGGACATCAGTTATCCACAGTCTTCTTAAGGTGATCAGATTTTCTGTCAAATTTACTTTCCGACTTTATTTATATTAATATTCAGAATTCATTCATATTTAGAATTCCATCCACCCATGCAAAAACCAATACTAGAAGAGAATTGACAGCCACCATAATGTCACCACTTCCTTTTTTCTCAGGGAAATGTAAATCTTTTTGGTGATGTTGCATTGTTATTTCTTTGCACACATAGATATTTAAATATTTATTTACTAACTTTTATTTTTATTTTATATACATTTATAAATATATGACTTATAAGCATAAAATATTTGGAAAGGGAAATCCTGCTAAACATCAAGGCTTATAGAAAAATTTCTGAAAGTTCTGAGGATCATGGAAATCTATATCTTCACATATGTACTACCATATTATTTTGTTGTTATGTTTGGTAAACGTTTTTAAGCTTTGCAGCTGTCTTGAACTTACCTGCCTTGTCTTATCTTGTAGATTTTGGCTGCCAGCAGTGTGCTACAGGGTGGCTCACCTATGGCAGGTCCTGTTTTTTTCTTTCCACCACCAGACTGACCTGGCTTGAGAGTCAGAAGAACTGCAGCGCCAGTGGAGGGTCTCTGGCTATTGTTACCAACAAGAATGTTCAGGTGAATCCCCCATAATTAACACTGCAAGCAGTTTGTTTGTTATCATTTACACAGTGCAAATCAGCCCTTTTTTCCTCTTTTGCTCTAGAAATTTCTTACACAGAAAGGGAATCTGAAGTACTGGATTGGACTGAGGCTTCATAACGCCACATGGAACTGGGTCAACAGTAATGCGCTGCAGCAGAGGTGATTTTGTGGAATATCTTAGACCGTAAATCCTTCCTTCCTAGCATATGTGGAAAAGTAAAAGAACAGTAACGCCTCAGAACAAAGTTCCCTTTTCAGCTTTGGTTCTATTTCACATTTGTTCTCAAAGAGAGCCACAACACAATATATTACTCCCCCCCAAAATAATGTTCATATTCATTCAGTTTAATCATTAACATTCTTTTTCAGTTATTGGATGGACCCTGTCCAAAACGAAGATTGTGCCTATCTCTACAGTGATGGTCCAGTTGAGAAGAACTGGGGCAGGGCTTCCTGTCTGGCTTCAGCCTACTTCATCTGTCAGCTGCAATTCTGAAGGAAATTGGGTTTCATCAAAGATCCTCTCCTCAGTAGGCAGATAATCGCTTTAGTTTGCATGACATACTCCAATCATATCCATTGCTTCTTAGACAGTGTAAATATTACATTTAAGGCCTGAATTTAATGTATGACATCACATTATATTTACTACTGAGTTTTATGGTTTGTACATCAGTATATTTGCTTTTACCAGCTTTAATTTAGATATTTTAATATTTTGTACTACAAATAAATGTCCTGCTGACTCATAAATGAATGTTGGTAATTTTATTTTAACAATCTTTTATTCTCGTATAAAAAATTATTTCTCTTATGACAGGTGGATCTTTCATTATATTTTATGCTGCATATATTGCTGCTACATATATTCCTATAATATATATTTGCAATAAAAATAACATGCTTCTCTATTGCTTAATACTGCAGGAATAATTGCACAGTTTACTACAAAGAAAAACATAAAAGAGATAAATGTTCAAGTCCATTTCTTCAAACAGTTTAGATTTTGATCAGGTAGAATCTCTTTTCAAACGTATCTGATGTCCTGCATCTCCCCTGGCTCCTCTTGCTCCATCTCCAAACCTAAAGCGCTGTTACGAATCATCTCCCAACCTGCCTGTGCCTTCCTGTTGCCATATCCTCTGTTTTTGGGTCGAAGCATTGGGGTTTCCTTCATTGTGTCTGACTTTTCATTCCCCTCCTTTTCATCCAGACTGGAGAAGACCTTGACGTAACGTCGCATTTTTTGCATCATTGGATCATTTCTATCTTCAACCCTGCAGAACAGAAACATCATTAAATGATATCCTGCAATATCAATCAGAATACACTCTGCATTGGAGATCACATTTTCAATATAAAAATATTAAAAAATCATTCTAATTTGAACCCCTTTCAATAGTTTGACTCTTCTTTAATGCTCAACTTCTCCAAGTCTGTTCAAAGTGGCTGTTCACAATGAACAAAAAATTTTCTCACTGTTGAAAGGGAATTTTCTTTTTACTCGATGCATGCTTCATTTTATGGGTTGCTGCAACGTCAATAAGACACTGCAAGCAACGGTGTACTGTTGATGCAATCTGCTTTGAATAATATCCCAAACTCGGCTGCAGTATTAAAAAACTCAGATAAATTTGGGATATATGTAGTTTACTTGGAAACTGTCTTTATGGTTTGACTGACAGAGTTCCTATCGCAGCAAATGTGAATGTCAACAGGAAAAACGATAAGACTGCTAAACATTATTGGACTCTCCTCTCGTCTCTGCTGGTGATTTAATGCCATTATTCTATAATATAAGCCAGCGCAATGGGACGCATCCATTACAAAGGCTCCTTAAACTTGGTACTGATAATTACCCAGAAATCCTAACTGAGTTAGTTTCATTGGACTGAATTTTTCTATATAATTTAAACCAGTAATAACTTTAAAAATAGGACAAGATGTGAAAAATTATTTTGAATTTGTTGACAAGTTTGAGCTTTACTATTAAAAGTTGTGTTAGGTGCAGTGCTTCAGTAAGCAGAAATATTAAACAACATTATAAAAGTTGTATGTTTTCCTTTTTAGCAAGAAAAAATAGGAAAAAAATAAATAGGAAATAAATGAAAAGATGACCTTCAAGACTCTTTCTATCCCTCAGGAATGTCATATCTATCTAGAGCATGTGGTTTGGGTATGTCTTGTCGAAAACAAAAGAAACAAATAAACAAGGCCTTATTTTAAAAATTCTGAAATCTGAAAATTCTGGTTCATATGTCAAATAAATCAACAAAAATGCAGGGACATACCGATTCTCTTTAATTTTCATGCAAACTTTCTGGAAACCAAAGGATTTTTTAAAATCCTACATGAATTCATGGTGTATATTTTCCTTTTTAAATTTTAATAAAGTTCGATATTCTTAATTTTTCCTCCTAAACAGAAACTCTTGTATTTAGGCAGAGATTCAAATATAAATAAAAAAAATACCAAAAATATATTGTTGAATTTATGAAACCCATTATTAGAGATCTCAGTATAATAAAATATCCATCAGGTTTCCTTATCAAATAAATCAAAGCCCATGTAGAAATTTTCAATGTTTGTTTTATTCAAATGCCACAATGACGTTTCTCTCTTTTGTCTCATTCACAATAATTACTAGAACTAATTATTTTTTTCTAAGCCAACATTATTTATTATACTTGGATTTTAAAGAAACAGCAACACAAAATACATTATTGTGAGGCAGAAAAAAACAAAATATGGTTTTGAAAGGTAAACCTTCTACCTCTGCAATAAAAGCCGCTATTATTTTCAAACATGTGAATAGAATCACATCTATAGTCTGATTCAATATTATTATTATTATTTGTCTGTGAAAAATTGTTTAAGCTCAGTTGGACTGAGTGGAAAGCGCCTGCAAACTGCATTGTTTCAGGTTTTGCAATCGATTTGTTGGGTTGTTGGATGCTTTTATCTGCATCATTCCTTGGAGCTCTGGACATATTCTTTAAGGGTCGTTGACCTGCAAGAGGGTAAACACCCATCCCTTTGTTTGGTCTTAGGCAGATTCTAACAGATTTTTATCTGGAATTGCTGTAGCACCACATTTCATATAGGGACGCTATACATGATGATATATCTAGTTTGCTTTCGACCACATGCTGTTTTGCTTTAAAAGGCTAGAAAGTTAAATTCTGGTCTCATCTGAATCAAAGATGTTTACAGAGTTTCATACGTGGTTTGTTAGGAGAACGACTTTCCCTTGGCTACTCTTTCACAGATCTTATAGCCATCATTAAAAATTATAAACACTGTACTGAATAAAGATCTGTTTGTAGATTTTTTTTTTTTTATTCCTTTTTTTTTTTAAATGGTCCATACCAGGTCTTTTACCTTTATAGCCCATTGACCTTCATAATCTGCATTTGAGATCTGAGTCTCAGCTGGCCGGACCACATTCTCTTACCTGAGATACCAGCGCTCCTTCAGGCCGAAGCTGAGCCCACACACGCCTAGCCGAGGCCACAAACAGCGGGGAAGCCTCCTCTCCAGCATCAGAGTCGTGGCTACAACCTGCACAACAAACACCCCCGCTGTAACAATGACACAGCAGTGTTGAATCAAAGCTGACAGGGTGATGACATGCAAGCACGCAACAGCTACCTGAGTCCTCCAGAGCTCGTCTCTCTCTTGGGCCACCCTCCAGTGTGTGTCGCTCATCATGGCAATCAGCAGGTTAAGCAGCAGGATGTAAGACACAACTGAGAAGCTGGCATGTAGCACATGGACGATGGGGGGTGTTATGAAGGTGTGATCCACAGGCAGGTCAATCAGGCCTACACTGAGCTCAAACTGGGAGAAGAGGGTGATGGGGAAGGAGTTGTATGCAGGGAGGGAATTGGGATCTTGGGTCATGTACACTATCCAAAGAGCTAAGAGAAGGGTTAGAAAAACCATTAGGTGAAAAAAATATATAGAAATATTTTAAAACCTTTCAAACAGCCAAGAATAAATACTTACAGGTGGAAAAGCCTATGAGCACAATGAAACTCAGCCACATAAACTTTGTCAGGTCTCCAAATATAATCTAAGAGGAAATGAGAGCAAGTGTAAGAAAAAACGTTTTCTTTTCATATTGCAACAGTATTGTATTGTCAATATCTCTTATATGTTAAGTTCTGCAAATTAAAATATGAAAATCCAAAATGATAAAATCATAAGATGCTTTTTTTGGGGGCTTGCCAAACGATAATAAACTGGATTCAGGTGTGGACTTTGACTTGGCCAATCAAAGACATGAATATACTTTGATTCACACATTCCCTTAGAGTTTTTTTTTCTGTGTATTTAAGTCATTTGCAGCTTTTTTCGAAAGATTTTCTCATAAAATTTGTTTCATCATCATGGCTAATGAGCTTTTATGTTTGAGCAGATAAGGTTTAAGAAACACAACCAAATAACTGAAATTTTTCTCTCACCTTCTGTATCATGATGACGTACGGACCGAGCATTTCAAACCCGCGAGCGAAGAACATGACGTTGCACCAGCCAAGAACCAGACACAGCGCCATCACCTCGGCCTCCCCCTGCACCTCGCAAGTTCTGAACACACACAGCAGCACCACCAAGCAAGCATAGCTTATTCTGAAAAAAAAAAGCAACAGAAACATTAGACAATATTCATATAAGTTATGTTTTTGTGTCTCACTGTAAAAGTTTTTATAATTACAATATAACATGGAAAGGTCCTCCTAGTGCTGTCTGGCCAAAGTAACGCTTGGCTCCAACTCTCAGTATATCAGGAATCTGTTGGTAAAATAACGTCGGTGAGGATATTTTTTAATAGACACAACTGTTGCATAAAAGCATAAAGATAGAACATGAGTCATGTGCTAACCTCCAGCACCAGGATGAGTAAAGCTCCCAGGACGCTGATGACCTCTCCGGCCAGCCGCACACTGTCCCCATAAGTCACATAACTGTCCTGAAGCAGGGACAGAAAAATACACTCTTCTGATTAACTGCATAGTTGAGAGATCCAAGTAAAAAAGTTGTACATAATATGATGCCCTAATACCATTTCATCAACATCTTGATCTGATTCACATATTTAGAGCAACATGAATACACATGCATGAAAATGTAATGGAACAATTTATTTATTACACACAGAGACTAATATTCAGTTATCAAAATATAGATTTTAACAACAGGTCAATGAATAAAAAATAGTATATAAAAAAGAAAAACCCTAACTAATATTTATCATCTTTGGATTTTTAGGGGTTATAGCTAATTGTGAAATGTTTGCACTTTTTAAAACAAGACCAGTTATTATAAAATGTAGGATTTTTTTTTCTTTACAGAATAACCATAATTTCAGTTCTCTTATTTGGGGGTTTTCATACACAAGTCATTTAACAGAAATTTTACATCGGAAACCTCTCCAGATATACTTAATCAAAATGTACTTAAAACATTTTGAGAGATTATGGAAACCAGTTAATCCATTTTAAAACTGTTACCCACATTCTATGAGCAAGCTAAATGAACAGAAGGTAATTTTATTTAAAATGTAGAAAATCCACATCATACCAAATACCATGTCTAAATTAAAACATTAAACAAAATAAAATTGATCTTGTTCTTAACTATGAAAAGATTTTTAAACTCAAGGAAGAAGTAGTTAATTGTTAAAGTGTTCTTTCACTGCTGCAGAACTGTAGCTTTTCTTGACTAAGTCATATAAAGTGAACCCATCTAAACAGCAGTTGCCTTTTTCTTCCCATTTTGATTCTAAAACCTAATATTTGTGTGAAATCCTGCATTTATATAAAGAACTTTTATATGTGATTGAGATTTAAAATGTTTTTCTTTCGTTTTTATTACAGATATTATGATAATACTGCCAGAGCTACTGAATTAAGCTTTAGGCATTATGTAACTACACTATTAAGGTTTGCTTATGTTGAAAACTCTTAATTGTGTGGGAGGAAATTAAACTGTAAATGTTTGCAACAATCGAGTTCAACCCACATTTAGTGTCTTCTGAACCCTGATGGTTTTGTCCAGGTCTGTCTCTGTGTAGTTCCCATCAGCATCCTTTAGAGGGCGGAAGACACAGCACAGGGTGAAGGTCACTATGTACAGGAGGTACAGGAACAGAAGCAATCTGATGCAGGACAGGTGGAAACAAAAACGGTTTAAAACACAGCTTCATTATCTACATTTATCATAAACTACACACAAAGAAGAAATCACCTGAAATAATGTTTCCCATACAGGTTCCATTTCAGGCTGACCAGCTGCCTCACAGGAGTCACCTCCAGGATTCCCCTCGCCTTTGAAAAACAAGGGACCAAATCAGTTATTGTTTCCTCACCATAGCCTTCATATTAAATCATAAATTGTATCTGTTCTCTACCTCTCTCTTTTGGCTACCCACTATAACCTCCAGCACTGACATGCTGTCAGCCCAAGAGTCGATCTCTGTTAGGTCGTACAGGTGGGAGCTCAAGGGGCCCAGACTCCACTGGACGACACGCCTCTTATTAACTAGGTGCTGAAACACCTGAGAGAAACATGGAGAGTCAAACCTGCTCCAGCCTTATTTGAAGTCCTGTCACTGTGCTCCACACTCACCACGATGTTTCCCTCCTTGGCAGCTAGCTTGAAAGGTGTGAGGCCTCTGTTGTTGGGCACCATGTCAAGAGGGATGGACTGGTCCAGCTCTGCATCACGGGCCAATATGAGGTCAATGGCCTGGCAGGCTGTGGTCTTATTGGGCTGCAGAATTAAAACATGAAGCAGTGTGTTTCCTAAAAGATGAGATGCATGTAAATGAAATGTGAACCCAGCAACATAAAAAAATACAATAAAATATGTTAAACACTGTTCTGTCTGATGCTATGTCTACAGATTAAATATCCAGACTAAACCAAAGATTTTACTATTTTTTCATTTTTTTTTTTTTTACCTTTTTTACCCCTGAGATGTTGAAAAACAGATAAAAGTTCTTTGCTTTATTTTTGTTTGAGTAAATCTCCTAAATAACATTTTGGCAAGTTTAATTTACCTTAGGGCCACCACTGAAATGAATACATATTACACCCAGTTTAATCTAAACCTGAGATTTGATAAAACAATTAAATAATTCAAAATGTACCCGGCAACAACTTGCTACATTGATCAACCTTCTACTTTGATTACCAGTTTTAATGTTTGCATTGAAAGCTCAGTAAATCTAGAAGATTCTTCTAGAAAACTTTCCTCAACAAAACCACATTTGGGTTAAGGGCAATATAAAAAGTACTGCCCCTGGACCAGGGTCATTTGGGGCCATCATGCCAACTCACTTCCCATGTTTTCTACCATAAAAACTAATTTTACGCCCAAAACGTCATCAAGTTGAATGTTAGAGCTTTTTATAATTCCTTGAAACTTCATGGGAGATATATCAGCCCTATAACTTCATTCATTCCTGTTTAAATGACAGAGATTTTGCTGCTTTTTATAAAGCTTATTTCCATCACAGCACTTGGGTTTAACTTCTTAAAGCTACAGTGTGTAACTTTTAGCGACATCTAGCGCTCAGACTGCAGACTGCAGCAACATGATCATCTCCCCCCTACCGCTTCTCCCCCCCAACAGTACGGCGAGCGTTACGGGACAAAATGTCTTCCACGACGTCCGCATCCCCTACCTTCTCAAGTGATGAGGTTTGTTTATATAGATAATTTTACAGATAGTATTTCATTAGTCTGTGTAGGGTATAGATTTCATGTAGACTTAAGATAATAAATATACCCGTTATTTTTTCTACATCGTTGTGACATTTTGGCGATCTCGCAATCACTAGTTTGTTGGCTCTGCGCTGCCGTAGCGCAAAGATGTCAGCCTCCATGGCTGCGAGACCCGCTCCTATGTAATTATAAATAACGAATTCTAAGGCAACGCAAATATTAAGGTTAAGAGGCTGAGCTCGTAGATGATGATAAAATAACATAGGTATGTATAATATATTACATTTCTGACTGTATATCCCTGTAATTATTACACACTGTAGCTTTAAATATCTTAGATATTCCTCTGAGTCTAAGGGGGTTTCAGTTTAATTTTATATTTCAACAAATTTGCATGTATGGCTGTAGAAAGTTAGGTTGCAAGTGGAGCTCGAGTTTGTCTCTCCTACCTAATAAAAGCAAATAAACATTAAAGTATGTCTCCTTAAAAATATATATTTCAAACTCATCTCAGTTAAAGCTTTTGAAGGAGATAGGCTTGGTAGGCTTCATTTTACAGAAATCCTAGAGTCTGTGAGAATCATGACTTATATTCCAGTGTTATTGTCCAAAATCATTGTTTAAACTTCTTTATATTCTTTTTTATTAACTTGGCAAAGCTCTTTAGCAATCTGTGGGAAGTCAGCATAAGTCATTTAAATTAAGATAAACAGGTGAAAGTAAGTGTTCAGGGTGATCACACTTAAGAGGATGAAAGATTAGGTTACCATTGAAACACATCTTTACTGTTTTACATTTTAAGAAATTGTTAAAACGTTGTTGTTACTATATAATTCAATTATTTGGGACTTCAAACCTAGATAATCTTGGATCCTGGTGCTTGCCCCGGCATCAATCAGCATAGAGATGATTTCTTCATTACCAGCACAAGCAGCAAAAGACAGGATGTGTTCACCTGCAGAGCAAGCACAAAAGTGTAAAAAAATACATTAGATGTTTTTTTTGTCATATCGCAAAACAACACAGCAGTTTTATGTGCACAGACACCAAAAAATACTCCTCCAAAATATGCATCTCTTTTATAATATTGCTGTAAGATTGTGCTGACTTACCACAATACAAAAGTCCTCCTATCCTCTTCCTGAAATACAGACCGGTGACTCGAGGGTTGATTACGTCTCCTCCGCGGCTGATCAGGTGATGAACCAGGTTGAGGTTCTGATTCACAACAGCAATGTGGAGAGGAGTAATGCCTGTGGCCGAGATAAACAAAATCATACCAACTTTAGAAATTGGTAAAATATTAAAGAAAGGTTGGCAGGACATTTGATTCTAAAGGTTTAATTATCCAGGTCATTATTTCTCTATCCATTAGGTTTTATGTAATTGGATTTGAATCTGACTAAATGACCAAATGACTTGAACTGAATTTGGACTAATGTAGATTTTCTATTGTAAACTGGACATGTTTTTTCCTGTAGAGTACCACTAATGAAATTGGACTGCAACAGAGTTTGAACAAATTAATAAATAAATAAATATTTCTACTTTTTTACTTTCCTAGACTTGTATATTTCAACTTTTGTGTTGTTTTCCAAATTAAATAGTAAGAAAAGTAAAATATGTGTCAGTTATAGTTAAGCAAAATGTCATATACACCTTTGTATATACACCATAGTGTGATCACTAAAATTACTACTTTCCATTGTTTTAGATTGCTTAATTGAGATGTAGGAGAAAGTGGTTGAATAGCCAATGTTTTTGCTTAAAAAATGAAGTTACTTAGCACTCCCCCAGCTATTGCTTTGCACTGCTAGTCAGCTGGCTGCAATAGTAACCCCTTTCCATCCGTCTTCTTAGAATAATTTCTGCTTTCAAAAAGTTACTTAGAAGAAACTAAAGGGGAAGCACAAAGTTAACAAGCAACATTTCTGTTAAGCTGCAGACTTCAGGCTAGCTGCTGAAGCTATAATTCCTAAGTTTATAGCAATTTGTAACACCTCTGCAGCGCTATAAAGATTAGAACAACAGAGAGCTGTAACTTCTCTGTCAATAAGCAGTTAAAAGGAAGCTGCTATTGCAGGAGGTGTTTCAATACGAATTTATTCTATATTTCCTTAGTTTCTACAATACAATAGTAAAGTTTTACATATACATTATAAATAACAGCTGCTGTTTGTAAAGCAATTATATATAGTATTTATATATCAAATATTCATTATATAATCAACAGCTTATACTAGTTTACAATTATGAATAATTGTTCTATGTGGCTACATGTTTATTATTCTAACCAAGAAGTAATAAGGATTTTACTCAATGCTGACATAGGCCTACTGTGAACAATGCCTTAGGGAGTCTTTTGAAGAAATTAGATTTTTTAAGTGTTTTAGCCTGAAACCTTTTTAGCAAACATTGACACTAAATTAAAAATAACCTTTCTACCAAGATCGGTAAAAACCTACCAATTAAACCACTTTTCTCTTAAAAACGGAGGTTCTCCTTTCAATTAGCCAGCTAATTCCCAACAATGTGCACAAATGAAACTATTTCTAAGAGCACAGAAGGTTTTGGTGATTTTGATGCATGTTTAAGATTCCGCTGTTCCAGCAGGGTTAGCAGTGAGGATCATTTATACCTTTGGTGGAAGTGAAGCTTTGAACTAAAATGGCTTTCACTCCCAATCTGCATATCAATGGCCTTGTTATCATAGACAGTTGAAACTCATTCAATGAGCTCAGCTGATAAAACATCAGGTTTCGTTGTTTACCTCTTTCTTGTTTTTAAAGAAGAGGCTGTGAAAACAAATTTTTGGATAGTTTCTCTTTCATTTAGAACATTTTAGCAAACTTTTCTTTTCTAAAGGTTTAACCTGGCCTCTTTTAACATGTTTCTTACTTAAAAGCAGAATCATATCCTCTATCTAAAGATCCTGTCTGCAGTTTGCTTGCTTTTTCCTCTAACCATTTTGTATCAAGTTACATATTAATTGGTTTCACTTCCTTTTATATTAAGATTTTGACGTTTTGGTAATGTGCAGGTGTTTGGCTGTCTTTACACTCTCAAACCTTGAAATAGCTCAGATGTCATGGGCTCATTGATGAGTTCAGGAGCTCCGTCCATCAGAGCTACTGCAGCGTCCAGGTTGTCATTCATCACAGCAACGTGTAGGGCCGTCTCTCCTAAGGCTCCTGAGTTATATCAATAATTTTGACATCAACTCTGACATAAGACAGATAAAAGCTTACAGAAAGATTTTTACTTAGAAGAAGTATTTTTCTTACCTCTCTCAAATATGTTGGTGGAAGCACAGCTTAGGAGCTTCTTGATGCAACCAGCACTGTTGATTTTAGCCGCATAGAAGAGAGGAATGTCGTTTATGCTGCAAAATATTAGGAAAAACACAAAAAATTTTGCTTTTAATGCATATGAATTTTATCTTCTCTCTGGATAAAAAAACAACACATTTTTAGTGGCTTCAGGTACTTTTTTGTGTAGTAGAGAAATGTTTCATCCAGCATCTCATTCCATCCTTTTTTGTTCTGCAGGCGAAACCTTAGCTGGTTCCACCAATGGTTGAGCTCACTGGGAGCAGATCTAGCCAGAGACGGAGACATTGACTCCTGGTCTTTAGCTGGAAGAATGATATAAAAAGATTTTAATCATTTCCAAAAATAACCGATTGAGTTCCTACCTGCAAAGTATTTAATTAATCTGGGATTTATTTTAAATTTAAACGCAAACTGACAAGATCTTTAGGAATTTGAAAGTTCAGCTTACCCTAAAAATCAGGAAAAAAAATAGCTCCTCTTCTCTTATAGCTCCTCAGTCATAACCTTAAAAATCTGGACTCAGCACTTTGGAAATATCCTTGAGTGGGAGAGAATCCCTGTGGCTTTTCCTGTTATATATCACCCCAGAAAAGGAAGAGGAGGAGACATGTGGTGGGACTGGGAATGAATGGGCGGAGAGTGAACAGGTGAGGCAGGGACAGTGAGGTGGTAATGAGCAGGTAGATTTTACCAGATGGTCACTCAAATACCACAGAGAAAGTTGTGCTTTAAGCTCCAGCCTGCTTGTTGACCTGGAACGCCTTCATCATGCTGATTTGAACTTACAGTTATATTTTAGCGTATTTGGGAGTGAAGGGGCACTGCCTCCAATCTCTGAACTCCTAGTCACTATAGAGTGTTCCCACTTCTTTCAAAATTAGTTTTTTATAATGTAATAGTATAAGGCAAACAAAAGAGAGACATATATCACCTTCTGTTGCATTAATTAACTAAAAAAACAGATGAATTAGGGGATAACAAGAAAATATGTAATAACGTAGTTGGATAGGTTTACAAACCCTTAGAACTTAAGAATGTTTATGATTCTTTTTTGCATTCAGTCTTTTTTGAGTTCTCCTCAGGAATCAAAAATACCTTGGATTAGATTTTGTTCTCCTAGTTGGATCTTCTTGACCTCTCCTCTTTTGTATCCTTAACCCCTAGAACCCTACGGACCCACCGGTGGGTCCAGCTGCTACGTGACCTCGTAATTTTAACAAACCCCCAGTATTGATGTAAAAAACACATTTGGCAGAGTTTGGTGACATTTTTGGATAAATGTGCCAAAATGGCCCCTCCGCCTAAGAAATTTCTCACTAATACCATTCTAAAATAAATATGATTCATCTGATTGAGTCCAAATTTGGTATATTTTTACACAACATTTAGATTTAAAAGTCTGTACTACTTGTCTGTGCTATAAATAATATTTTGGTAGTGTTTTGCAATGTTTATTTCAAAGAAAATTTTGGCGAGGTTCAAAAAATGCAAAATATTTTGTATTTTGTCCCTAATATTTCAGGCAGGGTCAAAGCTACAATGGTGCTGACACCAGAAAACCATTCTCTGACATCTTACCTTTACAGACGTACCAAAAGTTTCTTCTTAAATCTAATAGCTGTGAGGCTATAAGTTATTTACTTTTGTGTGTTTTTGTCAGGCAGAAATCTATTTATACCCCCTGAGGGTGTTAGAGGTTAAGCTAAAAACACAGTTTATAGAGGTGTAAAAGGGATCCTAAGGATTCGGCTAGAGAAGGTATTAATCAGGATAAAGATGCAAAAGTTCAACCTTTACTTTATATTTGATGAGACAATGAGGTGATCAACCAGCAACTGGAGAAACTGAAATGAAAAAAAAATTAAGCTCAAGGAATTTTCTCTCATAATCTCCAAAATAAACACAAAAATATGACTAACATCACCAAACAGTTGGTGGGGTCACCTGCACAGGGCCGGGAACTCGTCTGATAAATTTGAACAACAATTTTTGCCATGTTGAACAACTTATGTTGCCAAGGAATACTAATAAACATCTATAGAAGATGACTGAACCCAAAACAGTGTTTCACTGGAGTATTATTGGATGCTTTCCAAACCTTTGCAACTTTGCAGCTTCTTTCTAGCAGATTTATTTTTTAAATTGAGTTGTAAGGGATAAACCTGTATACATATAGAAAAATTAGATTAATGATTCACAATGTTCTAATTTTCTTACATAATATAGATCTGCAATTTTAATAGGGATGTAGAGATCATTTTAAGCCTCTTTATATCTAAGCGTCCTCACCAGGCCCGCTCTGCATTCTTCATGATAAAAACCTGCATGGCCACTTTGAAAATTCTGCAGCTTCTGACAGTCCTCTCATAATAGTCATTGCTGAGGGTGAACTGTAAGGAAAACCTGTTTGAAAATTGCTTGAACGCTGGATTGTAATCTTAACCTCACATCAGAGCCTGTTGCTCCACAGGGCATGATTTAAAAAAAAAATTGCCCTCAAATTTGGAGACACGAATGGATGAGAGGGGAGAGACAATGTGATTTTTTTTATTGCATACTGCCTCTTGTTCTAGCAAAAACTCTGCAGCCAGCTTCATTCACAGTGATATAACATGTTGGGCACCATTCATGTGTCAACAGGAATGATCACAAAAACGGTAATTGCTGCTGTTCAAAGACCATAATGATCATTTGGAGGAAGGCGGCGTCATCTCCAATGAGGCCGTGTCACTTTCCTCACAGAGTATGAAAACAAAGCAAAAGGTTTCATTTGCAGCAAGAAATTAAAATTTTATTTAACAGCTTTTATTTCGTTGCATCTTAATCACACTTAAACTACTGATCCGGTAGCGTTTTACAACATTCTGGTCACGCAGGTTGTATCGTAAGAGTATTTTTCTGTATCGTTTATAGCTTATGACTAAGGAGAAGAGGCTACCCGCAGGATAAACAGGGTTTAGGGAGACACTATAGGAGGCCCCGGTGATGACTGCACATGTGGCCATCATTTCATATTGTGGAGATAATAGCTGTTTACCAGACGGGGAGCACCGATTTTTAAGCGCTGTCATAAAGACTGGTGGTTTCCATGCCGTTAATGTCTTTATAGGGAAACAATAACACCATAAAAAACATGACTTTGTGGTTTTCGTGCAAGTGTTTCAAGACCAATGTAACAGCGGCATGTTAATTTGAGTCGGGCCGCTGCCGAAAACAGTCATTACACACACAGCTGGTAGGTTTGGGACAGCTGGCACTAATTCTGCTAAAACCCTGGACTATTAAATGATTATTATGTTAGAGCCACAGCGGGGAAATATAATTCATTAATATAAAACAAGCCTGTTTAGATTTAAACGGCAGTTATTTCAAATGTTTAGTTTTAGACTGAAATACCTAAATTGTAATCTAATATACCGTATGATTCCTACTCCTGGTTTGATCTGGTGGAAAATTCCACATCCTCCGAGTCTCACTCTAACACACTCTGTATACTTATTTAACATGGTTTGTAAAAAATATTGTGAATTCAAGCGAGAAAAACCCCCCAAAAAGAAATGCAAAAAACATTTGGTATGAAATGTAATAAAAATGCTGTTCCTGGACATTAATATACAAATACACCCACACGGGTATTCTTACCTAAAATGGGGAAATTAAACAAAGGTGTACAACAATCTATTTGTGAAAACAAAGAAATGAATTACCTTTCAGAGTATATGTTTTAGTTTTTTCCCAGGTTATTATAAGGTTCTCCTGCAGCCTTAACAAGTAGTAAAGCAGCCCTTAACCTAACTTCCCGATTTTGCCGCCAGAAATCCAACTGCAACTTTATCTGCAAGAGAAAAAGAGCAGCAGAGGCTTGCAAACATAAATTAAAGCTGATAAAAGGTAAATTCTCTGCAATACAAACACATAAAAAATACTGCAAGGCTGTTTTTTTTTAATCCAAAACATTGTTCAGATGCAAACTTGTGACCAAGTTTGTTGGGTTGGGAAGAAAACCATATGTAGTTTGCACAAGCTAGTACCAAAGTTGTTAAACATTTAAACTCTGTCCTGTTTTTAATGTATAAGATTAGACTTTTGTAATCCAAATTCATTTGGAAATACAAATCTTCTTAGATCAATACAAGGTTGATTGTTTAATTTGTTTTTAAATTATAGTTGTTGAAGAAAGGAGTTAAACATATTTCTCAGTCATTATTATTATTCATTTATTCCAATTCCATCCATCCATCTATTTTCTTCCGCTTTATCCAGGTCAATTCGAGACGTCCCAATCCACACACACCTCCGCCTGCTGCTCTGGGGGGACCCTGAGGCGACACCAGGCCAGCTCAGAGACAAAGTCCCTCCAACGTGTCCTGGGCCTTCCATGAGGCCCCCTCACCATAGCACATGCTTGGAACACCTCATAAGGGAGGCGACCAGGAGACTTCTGGCACAGGTCCTCCTTTCGACGTGGAGGAGCAACAACCTTACTCTGAGCTCTTCCCGGATAACTGAGCTCCTCACCTGAATTGTATTCTTATTAATCCAGGCATTAGGTTATCTAATTACATTTAAACCAACACAGCTTTATGAATCAATACAGATAGATCTGTGGAAATTATTGAGCTGGGGATCAAACCACTAAACTACAGAGGAAGTAAATACCTGTTTCTAGATTTATGTAAAGAAACTAAAAATATTTTTGTATTTTGTTAAATATTCAACTTGACACTCATTTATGGAAAGCAAAATCCTCACTTCTAAACGTTCTTAAGTAAAAATCAGGCTTACTTTTGAAAAAGTTTTCATATAGAGTTGAGCTTGAAAGTTTGCATACCCTCCCTTAAAGAAAATGATAATTTCACATTAGTAATTCAAATAACTCAAAACTGAAAAAAAGTAGTAAATATGAATGTACTAAATTATCATTTGATATAATTAAATATTGGAATTGTGTTAAAAAAAATTATTCTAAAAAAAAAAAAAATTCAAAAAGAAAAAAAAAAGAAAGAAACTGAAAGTACCTTGCTGATGAACAGAAAACCAACATACCTGTCAATTATTGGCTCAAAGTATATTTATATGAGTGTAATTACAGTATAAAATTTGAAAAAATGGTAAAAAAAAAAAAGTATGTTATTGGTGAGTGTTATCACTGTTTTATAAATCAACATAAGAGAAGAAATTATAAGCGAATAAATGTTTTATAAGCTTTTGGAAATTTTGATTTACAAAACACATTACATTTGCAATGAATGTAAAAGGATAATCTAGCAAACATTTGTAAATAAATCAGGATGAAACCCAACATTATCTACTAATGAATCACCATACCTGGTCATTATATTATTACTGGATCCAAAAGTAATTTTCATGGCTTGGTTTATAGTCGAGTCACCTTTGCCCTGCAGCCGGATGTGCCATGAAAATAGGACATGCTGGTGGAGTATTCTGATGTGTGTGCGATCTTGGTATCATTGCAGATCTGTTCTGCTATCAGCAGCTGAGGGTTATGCAGGATACCATTATCTGTTTTTGGACTGGTGCT